ACTAGACTCCCCCTATTATCAAGTCCCCACCACATATCCCATTACAGTCACTGTCCATCAGCGTAGTAAGATGCTATAGAATCATTACTTGTCTTCTCTGTGTATACTTACTGCCTTTCCAGTGTCTGCTCCCCACTAGATTATGTGTGCTATTCGTAATGCCCCCTTTTCCCCTTAGCCCTCCCTTCCCACCCATCCTCCCCAGTCCCTTTCCCTTTGGTAACTTTTAGTCCATTCTTGGGTTCTGTGAGTCTGCTGCTGTTTTGTGCCTTCAGTTTTTACTTTGTTCTTATACTCCACAGATGAGAGAAGTCATTTGATACTTGTCTTTCTCTGTCTGGCTTATTTCACTGAGCATAATAGCTTCTAGCTCCATCCATGTTGTTGCAAATGGTAGGATTTGTTTTCTTCTTATGGCTGAATAATATTCCATTGTGTATATGTACCACATCTTCTTTATCCATTCATCTACTGATGGACACTTAGGTTGCTTCCATTTCTTGGCTAGTGTAAATAGTGTTGCAATAAATATAGGGGTACATATGTCTTTTTCATACTGGGATCCTGCATTCTTAGGGTAAATTCCTAGGAGTGGAATTCCTGGGTGAAATGGTGTTTCTATTTTGAGCATTTTGAGGAACCTCCATACTGCTTTCCACAATGGTTGAACTAGTTTACATTACCACCAGCAGTGTAGGAGGCTTCCCCTTTCTCCACAACCTCGCCAACCTTTGTTACTCTTTGTCTTTTGTATGGTGGTGATCATTACTGGTGTGAGGTGATATCTCATTGTGGTTTTAATTTCCAATTCTCTGATGATTAATCATGTGGAGTATCTTTTCATGTGCCTGCTGGCCATCTGTAGTTCTTCTTTGGAGAAGTGTCTGTTGAGCTCCGCTGCCCTTTTTTTTTTTTGGTATCATTAATCTACAATTACATGAAGAACATTATGTTTACTAGGCTGCCCCCTTCACCAAGTCCCCTGCACAAACCCCATTACAGTCACATTACATTACTACACCCCATCAGCGTAGTAAGGTGCTGTAGAATCACTACTTGTCTTCTCTGTGTTGCACATCCCTCCCTATGCCCCGCCACACATTATACATGCTAATAGTAAGGCCCCCTTTATTTTTCCCCACCCTTATCCCTTCCTTTGCACCCATCCTCCCCAGTCCCTTTCCCTTTGTAACTGTTAGTCCACTCTTGGGTTCTGTGATTCTGCTGCTCTTTTGTTCCTTCAGTTTTTCTTTGTTCTTATACTCCACATATGAGTGAAATCATTTGATACTTGTCTTTCTCCGCCTGGCTTATTTCACTTAGCATAATACCCTCTAGCTCCATACATGTTGTTACAAATGGTAGGATTTGTGTTCTTCCTATGGCTGAATAATATTCCATTGTGTATATGTACCACATCTTCTTTATCCATTCATCTACTGATGGACACTTAGGTTGCTTCCATTTCTTGGATATTGTAAATAGTGCAGCGATAAACATAGGGGTGCATCTGTCTTTTTCAAACTGGGCTGCTGCATGCTTAGGGTAAATTCCTAGAAGTAGAATTCGTGGGTGAAATGGCATTTCTATTTTGAGCATTTTGAGGAACCTCCATACTGCTTTCCACAATGGTTGAACTAGTTTACATTCCCACCAGCAGTGTAGGAGGGTTTCTCTTTCTCCACAACTCGCCAACATTTGTTGTTGTTTGTCTTTTGAATGGTGGCGATCATTACTGATGTGAGGTGATATCTCATTTTGGTTTTAATTTGTATTTCTCTGATGATTAGCGATGTGGAGCATCTTTTCATGTGTCTGTTGGCCATCTGAATTTCTTCTTTGGAGAACTGTCTCTTCAGCTCCTCCGCACATTTTTTAATTGGATTATTTGCTTTTTGTTTGTTGAAGTGCATGAGCTCTTTATATATTTTGGATGTCAACCCTTTATCGGATCTGTCATTTATGAATATATTCTCCCATACTGTAGGATACCTTTTTGTTCTATTGATGGTGTCCTTTGCTGTACAGAAGCTTTTCAGCTTGATATAGTCCCACTTGTTCATTTTTGCTTTTGTTTCCCTTGCCTGGGGAGATATGTTCATGAAGAAGTCACTCATGTTTATGTCCAAGAGATTTTTGCCTGTTTTTTTCTAAGAGTTTTATGGTTTCATGACTTACATTCAGGTCTTTGATCCATTTCGAATTTATTTTTGTGTAGGGGTTAGACAGTGATCCAGTTTCATTCTCTTACATGTAGCTGTCCAGTTTTGCCAGCACCATCTGTTGAAGAGACTGTCATTTCCCCATTGTATGTCCATGGCTCCTTTATTGGATATTAATTGACTATATATGCTTGGGTTAATATCTGGTCTCTCTATTCATTTCCACTGGTCTATGGATCTGTTCGTTTGCCAGTACCAAATTGTCTTGATTACTGTGGCTTTGTAATAGATCTTGAAGTTGGGAAGCAAGATCACCCCTGCTTTATTCTTCCTTCTCAGGATTGCTTTGGCTATTTGGGGTCTTTTGTGGTTCCATATGAATTTTAGAACTATTTGTTCCAGTTTGTTGAAGAATGCTGTTGGTATTTTGATAGGGATTGCATTGAATCTGTAGATTGCTTTAGGCAGGATGGCCATTTTGACAGTATTAATTCTTCCTAGCCAATAACACGGGATGAATTTCCACTTATTAGTGTCCTCTTTAATATGTCTTAAGAGTGTCTTGTAGTTTTCAGGGTATAGGTCTTTCACTTCCTTGGTTTATTTCCTAGGTATTTTATTCTTTTTGATTCAGTTGTGAATGAAATTGTTTTCCTGATTTCTCTTTCTGCCAGTTCATTGCTCCTGTACATCTAACCATAAAAAAAGATGAAAAAACTGAGAATCAATTACTTATCTTAGACCCATCAGAGAACTGAGGTCACAAGGCAAATGACCACCCCAAATTCTGGAGCAAAGACAAATCCAGAGAAACACAGCCCATCTTTTCTTACATAAAGCAAAAACTGCTAGAGACATAATCAGGTAAGAACATTTAAATGGTAGTTTTGACAAATTGCTGGAGACTGAATGTGGTATAATATGAGACTGAGAAATCCCATGGGGACTTGCAGTCTTAGAGGTTTAGTGGGCTTTACCTCCAGGAACTTCAGCAAGTTTTTGCAATGAAAATCCCAGAAAGATCCCCTCATGGCTCTGGCAGTGGGAGGGAATGTATGTTCTTGTGAAATATACCCAGTACCTTGCCCAGGTGAGGGAAAGGCATTCCTCCTATCCAGCCCACTCTGTTTCCATTCTCATGTAAGGGGGAGAAAGACTGTAAGAAACAATTGTGAAGGTCATAGCCCAGAGACACAGGCCCACAAGACTGGAATTAATTATAAAATTATAAAACACTTATCTGTCACCATGGTAACACTAAACTGGATAATATGTACAGTATAGTAACAGCAGACTATATAGCTGAAAGAGCTGCAAGGTACAGACTCTGCAAGGAGTAGTTAGGTAAGCCCAAAGTTAAGAGGGAAGACAAAAATAAGAACTCTAGAGGCATTTGAAGAATCTGGCACCCACAGCTACAGCAACATTATGCACAGCCCAACTGCTAAAGCAGCTTAACATAAACCTTCTCAATAACAGTCTGTTTACCTCAGTTCCTATACCTAACCACATCATATGCAGCTTTCAATACAAAATTATAAGGCATGCTAAGAGGCAAGAAAAAGCACAGTTTGAGGGTACAAACCAAGCATTAGAACCAGATTCAGAAATAATGCGGTGTTTGGAATTATCCGAGAATTTAAAATCGGTATCATTAATACGGTAACAGTTCTAATGGACTAGCCAGGTGTGTATGTCAAGTGGCCGGGATCCAAGCGGGTTCTAATCCCTGCCACGTTTCCACACTGCCAAAGATGATAAGAGCTTCTATGTGACCGCAAGAGGAGACTTGACAGACAGAACAGAGGAAGAGGAGCCAGGACCGGCCCTAGCGGGTGCCTGACACTGGCTGTGGGACAACAGACAGGGAGGATTGTTATGACCCGGTGCGGGTCCTGACAGGGAAAGGCCTCTCTCCGGCAACCGGGGCGACCGCGAAATGGCAAAGTGTGGTACCACTTCGAGCACTGAGTAAACAGCAGTGTGGCAGGAAGAATGAGTGAGCGCAGACTGGTGGTTGGTCGCCTCAAGTTAGAGGGCTAGGTCTGCCTTCGTTCATTACAGGGGCAGTGGTGAGGCCTCCACGGGCGCCCCCGCCCACCTTCCTCCCCTCCGCGGCTCCGCGAAGCCGTGAAAGAACTTGGGCGGGCCACCCCAAACCTTCGGGGCGGTCTGGCCTTACAGCGTCCCTCCCCTGCCGGCCAGTGGTCCTTGCAGCTCCTCTCCCCTCAGCGTCCAGGAAGGACGGGGGCGGCAGGCATGCACCGAGCAGTCTGAGGGTTCGCGCACACCCCGAGGGGCGGTTGGTATCCTTCCGCTGCCCCGGCCGAAGCGTCCCTGCCGGCCTCCCGATCCAGGCACCTGCCCCCTCCCCCGCCAACCGCCCGCCGGCCCCCTCTATTGTGGTGGCAGAAGGTGGGAGTGGTCGCCAGGCAGGGGCCCGCGGCGCTCTCCTGAGGCCGTGCCGGCTGGTGTTAGCCCGCCCCTCAGGCTGGGGCTCCTCCCGGCCCCGCCCCCTCTGGGTCGGAACTACGGTGGGCCTGGGAGGGGGCGTCGAGCTCATTCGTGCCGTATCCCTCCGCCCCCCTTCCCGACACCGTCTCCGCGAGCGGTTCGTGCCGCATCCTGCGCAGCCCCTGCCCCGTTTGGTGCAGCGGTGCGGGGGCCGGGACGCCTCTTTGCGATTCCGAGCGCACCGAAGGCGGTGGGAATCCGAGCGAGGAGCCCGGAGAGGAGGGGGAGGCCGACGACCCGGGCCCTGAGCCTGCAAAGGCAAGTGCGAGTGTGGTGGGGGGCGGGGGTGGCCCCGCCGCCCCGCCCTCTCGCTCGGCTTACAGCCCGCGCCCCAGACCCTGGCAGCCTGGCGAGGAGGCGGCGATTGTGTCGGAGCCGGCCCCTGAGAGAGGTGCGCAGCGCAGGGAGATCCCTGGCAAGGAGGCAGCGGCGACCGGCGCGGTCCGGGCCCGGGGGGCAGAGTCGGGCCGGAGAGGCGCCCTCGGATCCTGTGGAGGCGAACGGCGCCGGCCACTACCCGGCCAGCTTTCCCGCGACCCGCGCTCGACGGTGTCTGTGCCGGGAGAGGACTCGGGGGGAGGCCGCTGCGGGAGAAATGGCGGAGCGGGAGCTGCGGTGGGGGGCGCCCGGGGAGCCCGCCGGGGCGGGGGCGGGGTGGCGTCCGAGCTCTGTGCCGAGCTGGCGGGAGCGGGCGACGGGGGCTACTGCGGGCCCTGATACTGCAAAGGGGCCTGTTGGGCCCCGGGTCCTGCGTGCTTTCCCTTCTCGCAGGCGCCTCGTTGATTCCCAAGTTTCCTGTCTGCGCGGTAGGTCTGGCGGTTTCAGCTGAAGGGGAACTGAGGGGGTCTGTTGCAGAGAAAATGTTGATCCACGTAACACCTTTGTTATTGCCTTCTTGCACCTTATTTAAGTTATTTACATTTTGCACCCAGTGAAGTCAAGCAGATGGCTGTTACGTTTCATCAACTTTCACAGGAAGGGTCCATGTAAATACTATTGTATAAACTTACTTTTCTTGTTGAGTATTTTTTTTCTCAGCATCCCAGCCCACTTTGTTGAGGTGTGGGAATGGCGATTCAGAATATAGAGGAATGTTTTCTTAAAGGTCAGTTGAGAATGCATGAAGTCAGTTTTCAATTTCTGGTTCTGGAAACCTGATCTCCATCTCCATCCACTCCTCACAGCCTCTCATTTTGTTTGGTACCTAAGCAGGCCCACGGAAGATTTTGCGGAGTTCCTGAGGGGAGGATACCCGAGGAACAATGGGAGTTGAGAGACATTTATTTACTTATTTCCTTATTCTTGAAAAGGGGGTGTTAGGACCTGAATTCTAGGTATCTGTTCGTTAACCTGATATTTTTCTACTATTGTCAACATATTTTCTTGGTGCTTTGCTGGATGCCCCTTTCTCTTGCTGTAGGCCTGGAATCTTCTCCAGCTAGAGAACTGTACTTTGGTGGGAAGGATACTGTCTCCTGAGGACCATTGCTGTGTGGGCTGGCTTCTGTAGGTGGTGAATGAGGTAGGATCTTTGTATGCATGGGGAAGGGTAAAGGGCAGGGCCATGCAAAGTTCGTACTGAAATAATAGTTGCCATTGTGTTCACTGCCTGCTTCCTAAATACAGTTGTTCCACTACCTCCTATTGCACTTCACTTTGGTCCAGGAGGAGTTGTGATTTCTGCTGGGAAAATGACTGACCTTAGAGTTGGGAGGTGGTGTAATTAGACAAATTTCAGGCTGTGAGGGACTGGATGAGGAATCATTTGGGAAGGAGCAGACAGGTGGGAGACAGTTAACTTGGCCTTTATATACAAAAGCATATGTTACTGTACCTGTCAGGTGTTGGGCCATCACACTCTCTTTTTTCTCCTTTGCCTTTTTGTCTGTCCACAGGTTTGTTCCTTTTTCGGTTCCTATAGATAAGAGTGTATCAATCATACCCTAATAAAAAAAAGAAATCTATAGGTAGCTGGTCACTTTGATTTAATTAAGAAAAAGGATAAAAACTGTTCATTGAGATCTAAGGTGAGTGTGAGCATGAGCACCCCTATTGATTGGGGATGGGGAGACCGGATCATATTTTAGAACCATTGTCTTCCAGCATTCCAGATACCTCTGCCCTCACATTTGTGTATAGGAAGTGTGAGTGAGGTGAGCCAGGATTGTGTCTATAGGGTTATTGATAGATACCCGGGAAATGGGGAGGGAAGCCACCCATAAGGAGGACCAAGGAGGCCAGAAACATTATATAGCAAAAGCTCTAGACTTGGAAAGGCAGGTATTGATTGAGTTTAGAAACCAGAGTGCATGTCAGTATGCCAAATCCCAAAATTCCAGTCTCTCTTGTACTTTTGTCCATAGGTCTCCCTGAGTTGGCTGTAGGGCTTACCAACACTGGAAGCCAGCAAGGAAGGAGGATAAAATTGCACCAGATCAGTACAGGTTGGTGTGAGGCCTACCTGGATAGGCCTATAGAGTATAATATATACCAAAGAGGCTGAGTACTCTTCAGCCTCTCTCACTTTCAGCAAGATCCCCATCATCCCTATTCCTATTTGATGCAGAGAAAAAAATGTGGTAGTACCTGGCCAGGACATTGTTAGACATTAATGGAAGTGTAGAAGGGTTAAAATAAAATAACAGAGATTTTTACTATTCTATTTTTTCCGTGCAGTCCATCTCTACTCTCTCATGTCCTGTGTGGCTGTCTTCACAGAGAAGCATATTTGGAAGACCAAAGCCCATTTCTTTTTTCTACCTCAGATCCATCTCCAGCAATGGCTATGGTGGCCTTGGAGTGGCAGAAGAGCATCACTTTCAACAGGTCTGCACTCAGGAACCATCATCTTCCCTCAGCTTGAGTGCCTATGCCCTTTGTATCATTAACATAGCTCATGCGTTTGGAAAAGGGACTGTGTGACTTGCTGAACTAACAATTGGCTCTAAGTCTTGTTACAAAGTTTGTCTTTGGCCCAGTAAAAGAGTCTTAAGACACATCGAAAATCTAGGCCAAGACTGTATAGGGCTATCTATATAACTGGGCTTTTCAGCCATGGCAAGGGGTAAGAATGAGAGTAGAAAGAAGGCCAAAACTGAAAAAAGAGCTGGTGTAGATGCTAATGAAAGGAGGGAGGCTACCTGTATAGTCACACCCAGAGCCAAAACTCAGGCAAAAGCAATACCCAAGGCAGGGTCTCAGGCACATGGAGTAGCAGAGATGAAGGCAATATCTAAGAACAGGATTGTCACTGAGATGAAGGAAGGAGGCCTGGCAGATTTCAGTCCCAAAGCTGAAAATGAGGCCAGTAGAGTGTCTCAGTTGTGTTCTGTGGCTGAGGCTAGTGCTGAATCCAGGTCAACATGTAAAGATAAGGCTGGTATTGATGCCTGGTTTTGGGCGGGGCAAGAAGCCAATGTTGGTTCCTGGTTCTGGAGTGAAGAGGCTGGTAATCATTCCAGAGCTAAGGATGAAGATAAAGCTGATACTGGTCCCCTGTCCTGTGCTGAGAAGTTGGAGCCTGTGGCCAGGGCCAGCTGCAAGGGTAGGCCAGGGGCTGAAGAGGAGGAGGAAGAGAACGTTATTGGGAACTGGTTTTGGGATGGAGATGAAACTAGTTTTGACCTTAATCCGAGACCTGTGAGCAGGATAGTTAGGCCCCAGCCTGTGGATGAAATTAATGAAAAAAATAGGCCTAAGGACTGGTCTGAGGTAACCATCTGGCCCAAAGCCCCTGCTGTAACTCCAGCAGTGTTAGGATTTAGATCCCAAGTCCCATTTGAGACAAAGCCTCCTTCATATATTGTCCTGGCCTCAGCTGAGGAAAATACCCATTCTTGGCCTGAGGCAACAGCGTGCCCTTCTCAGAGCACTCCCTTATGCTCACAACCTGTCCCTGAGTACCCATTTGGTTCTGACCCTTGCATCCAGACCATAGAGGAGATTAGACGCCAAATCCGGGTCAGGGAGGGGAGTGGAATTAAACCATTTGCTTGCCCTTGCAAAATGGAATGCTACATGGGTTCTGAGGAATTTGAAAAACTTGTTACTTTACTTAGGTCAACTACTGATCCCCTCATTCATAAAATAGCTCAAATAGCAATGGGCATCATTAATGTTCATCCATTTGCCCAACAATTCATTAATGAGGTGGGTGTAGTGACGCTTATTGAAAGCTTGCTCAGTTTTCCTTCCTCTGAAATAAGAAAAAAAGCCATAATTACTCTGAATCCTCCTGGAGACGAGAGACAATGTAAGATTGAATTACGTATTAAACATATGTGTAAGGAAACCATGTCCTTTCCCTTGAACTCACCCGGACAGCAATCTGGATTAAAGATACTAGGACAATTGACTACCAACTCTGACCATCACCACATTGTTGCCAATTATTTTTCAGAGCTTTTCTACCTACTATCCCAGGCAAATCATAAAACCAGAAATCTTGTTTTGAAAGTACTTTTGAATATGTCTGAAAATCCAATTGCAGCCAGAGACATGATCAATACAAAGGCATTAGCAACATTAAAACTCATATTTAACCAGAAAGGGGCAAAAGCCAATCTCATTAGTGCCGTGGCCATATTTATTAACATAAAGGAGCATATCAGAAAGGGCTCAATTGTAGTTATCGATCACTTGAGTTATAATACACTCATGGCCATTTTCCATGAAGTTAAAGTGATTATTGAAACAATGTAAAATGAGCCAGAAACAACACTTTGAACTATCTCCAAACTCCAATAGGCTGTCTGTTCCCAAAAAGCCTAGCATAATGTTTTGGTTATTACAGTGCACATTAAAATTACATCTTAAACATATTACCCATGAAGTCTCTAGGTTGGAGCTATACCATTTTGGGGATATCAAATTAACATTACATTGTGAGCAGAAAACATCTGTTGATTTTTATCTTGTGTAGATGGGGAACTTTTTAACATTTTACATAAGCAGATAGTGAACCAATTCACCATTAGCTAATTTGTTCATTAGTATCTGCTTAGATTCATTTGTAGCTGCAAATGGCAAAAAAAATCCTTGAATTTATAATCTAGTTAAAGATATGCTTATACACACACAAAGATAATAATACACACATGCATTCATACACTTACTGCCAAATATGTATTCTTAATAAGTAGGAAAACGGGTGTTGCTGTAGGCTATTTAATGTAAGAGAAGAATTACTGTTTTTCTCTTTATTCTACCTGTATTAGCTAACTCATTTTACCACAAATAGCCCTGAATCTCAGATTAAGATGTAATACTTGTTTTTCTGTTTTGCCACTACATTTATAACTCTTCTATTGTTAGACTATTTCATTTATGTCAAAGTCATTTCACAGAAAAGAAAGGAAGTAGAGGAATGGAGAAAACCTTTGCTGAGTACCTGCTTACGTCACATACTGTGTTGGCACTATATTGTAGAGCTTTTTTTCCCTCTTCTCACAGTGGTCCTATGAGCTAGCTACTGGTATTTTTATTATAACTCAATATACTGCATCACCTACAATGAGAACTAGGGAGGTTACTTTTTCTTAGATACCACAGCAGGCAAATAGCATAGCTGTTTGTCTGGTAACATGTTTATCATACCAAAACCCACCCTCTACAGTACCTTATACTCGTCTTTGACTTTTTAGGTGGTGGGTTTAGGGCTGAGATTGGTTTAATAATTCAGTTTTGCTGTAAATTCTGACCCTGCAGTCTTACAATTCTAGTTTCCTCCAAATGCACATGTCCATTAGTCATTTGGTTAAACCTGGTTGGAGGTCAGGAGAAAAGTCTGGGTGAGTGTATGGATTTGAAGTGGCAGTGACTGAGAAACAGCAGGTGCCCAAAACTGTTCAATGAATAAGATGTAGATTTATTTAGAGTCATCCCCAAATGTAATTTGCCATATGTCCTTTTTTTTTTCCATCAAAGAACTGGAATGATTCTGTGTGTTGTTTCATACATTACATTTAAAAAAGATAATTGCTTTCTTACTCTTCACAAAGTCATACCTTAATTTTTTTAACATTTATAAATTATCCTCTTTACATATGAAAAATCAAAAAGCTCCATCTTTTACTAGTGGGTAAGCCTACTTTCTGCATTTGTACCAGCTAAAACTACAGGATAAATCTAATTGGAGAAATTTAGATCCAGAACTGCAGCTTCATCAACACAGAACAGAAAAGCTAAGAGAGAAGCTGTTACCTCAAGCTACATGGTAGTAATATCTAGAAGTCTGTATGCTCCAGAAAGCATTCCCAGGAGTTGTAGGCTGTGAAAATATCCTCTAACACTCATGGTTGGAATTAAAACTCCTGGTCTGAGCTCATGAGAATTTCTCTTTGTGAAAATACTGAGTTACATGCTTTAAGATTTTTAAAGAGTTAAGAAACTAAAACAAGGTCGTATGTAATTGTTTAATTGTAACTTGCTTTTAATATTATTTGTAACTATATTGCAAACATCTTTCCATGTCAATAAATAAATTTCTACAACATACTTTTGAATCACTTCATGCTGAATCACTTCATGTTTTTCCTTTGTTAACAGTTGTTGCATAGTATGCTAGTCTTTCATTGCAAATCCTCTTAATGAACAATATGCACAAATTTATTCTTTTGTAAAAACAGGACTATAGTATTCCACAACTTGCCTTTTCATCTTTATAATTACCTGTCCAATTTAGTATTATACAGCTCTGCTTCATGATTTTACTTAATATTTAAGATACAATTGATATAATTAAATTATACATATTTAAAGTATACAATTTGTTTTTTCTTTTTTTATATTGAGGTACATAAAATGCACAAATCTTAGTGTATGAAATCTTGATAAATTTTGACTTGTATATACTCATGTAACCATCACCCAGATCAAGATATCAAACATTCTAATTTCCCCCCTTTAGCCATCACCCTGCTTCTCCTTCCCAATGGCAACCACCAGTCTGTTCTTTGTAACTAATTCTGTTTCTGTTTTGTTCATTTATTTTGTTTTTAGATTCCACATATAAGTGAAATCATGGGTATTTGTCTTTCTCTCGCCTATTTCACTTAGCATAATACCATCTAGGTCCATCCATATTGCAAATGGCAAGATTTCATTCTTTTGTATGGCTGAGTAGTATTTCATTGTATTTATGTATCACATCTTCCTATTGATGGATGTTTAGGTTGTTTCCATATTTTCACTATGGTAAATAATGCTGTAATAAATACAGCAGTACATTTATGTTTTCAGATTAATGATTTAATTTCCTTTGTGTAAATTTCCAGAAATGAAATTACTGGGTTATATGGTATTTCTATTCTTAGTTTTTATGAGAAACCTCCATACTCCTTTTCATTGGGGCTGCACTAATTTGCAGTCCCACCAGCAGTGTACAAGAGTTCCCTCTTCTCCACATACTCGCCAATACCTGCTTTATCTTGCCTTGTTTATAACAGCCATTCTGACTGGCCTTGAGTGATAACTTCATTTTGGTTTCCACTGGCATATCCCTGAGCAATGGTTTTGAGTATCTTTTCATGTGTCTGTTGGCCACCTGTGTATCTTTGGAAAAATGTCTATTCAGGTCTTCTGCCCATTTTTTAATCAAATTGCTTATCTTTCTGGTGTCGAGTTGTATGACTTCTTTATATATTTTGGAAATTAGCCTCTTATTTGATACATTGTTCATAAATATATTCTCCCATATGGTAGGTTGCCTTTTCATTATGTTGATGGTTTCCTTTGCTGTGAAATTGTAGTTTGATGTAGTCCCACTTGTTTATTTTAGGTTTTGAATCCCTTGTCTCGGGGCACATACTCAGAAAAAAACTGCTAACGGTGATGTTCATGAGTTTACTGCCTATGTTTTCTCCAGGAGTTTTATAGTTTCAGCTCTTATATTTACTTCTTTAATCCATTTTGAGTTTATTTTTGTATATGGTATAAGACAATGGTCCAGTTTCATTCTCTTGCATGTAGCTTCCCAGTTCTTCCAACACTAGTTATTGAAGAGATTGTGTTTTCCTCATTGTATATTGTTGCCTCCCTTGTCATATATTAACTGGCCATATATGTGTGGGTTTATTTCTGGGATTTCTATTCTGTTTCACTGGTCTATATATCTGCTCTTGTGCCACCACCATACTGTTTTGATTACTGTAGCTTTGTAGTATAGTTTGAAATCAGGGTGCTTGATACCCCCACCTTTGTTCTTCTTTCTCAGGATTGCTTTGTCTATTTAGGGTCTTTTGTAGTTCCATATGAATTTTAGAACTATTTGTTCTAGTTCAGTATAAAATGCTGTTGGTATTTTGATAGGGATTGCATTAAATCTGTAGATTGCTTTGGGCAAGATGGCTATTTTAACAATTTTAATTCTTCCTATCCATGGAGTAGCTTTCATTTATTTGTGCTCTTTAATTTCATTCATCAGGGTCTTACATGTTCATAGTGCAGGTCTTTCACCTCCTTGGTTAAATTTATTACTAGGTAATTTATTCCTTTTGATGCTATTGATATCTTAATTTCTCTTAGTTCATTATTTGTAAATAGAAATGAAAAATTTCTGCATATTTTGTATCTTGTGATTGTTACTGAATTCATTTATTCTAATTAGAATTAGTTTCTTGGTGCAGTTATTGGGGTTTTTTATAATAGTATGTCATCTATACATAGTGACTATTTTACTTCTTCCTTACCAATTTGGATGTTTTTATTTATTTATTTTTTGTCTGATTGCTGTGGCTAGGACCTCCAGTACTATGCTTAATAGAATTGGTGAGATCGGCCACCCTTGTCTTGTTCCTGATCTTAAAGGAAAAGCTTTCAGCTTTTTACCATTGACTATGATGTTAGCAGTGGGTTTGTCATACACACATGAAGCCTTTATTATATTGAGGTGTTTTCCCTCTCTCCATTTTGTTGAGAGTTTTTAACATGAGTAAATGCTGAATTGTGTCAAATGCTTTTTAAGCATCTGTTGAGTTGACCATGTGGTTTTTATCATTCCTTGTGTTAATGTGGTGTATCACGTTGATTTGAGGATACTGAACCATCCTCGCATCCCTGGAATAAATCTCAGTTGGTTGTAATGAATGATCCTCTTGCTGTGTTTTTGAATTCCATTGGCTAATATTTTGTTGAGGATTTTTGCATCTGTGTTTATCAGGGATATTGGTCTGTAATTTTCTTTGTAGTGTCTTTGGTTTTGGTATCAAGGTGATGCTGGCCTAAAAGTGCTTTTGGAAGCTTTTCTTCCTCTCCAGTTTTTTGGAATAGTTTGAGTAGGACAGTTATTAGCTCTTGAATATTTAGTAAAATTCTCCTGTAAAGCCATGTGGTCCTGGTATTCTGTTTGTTGGGAGTTCAATTTGATAAGTTTTGACACAGGTATATGCATACATGAAGCTATCACCATAATGAAAGCAAATATATCCATCACCTTTAAAAATTTCTTCATGACTCTTTATAATCCTTCCATCCCATCTCTCCCTATGTCTCCCCATCCCTAGTCAACCACTGGTCTGTTTTCTGGCATCACAGAATCATTTTCATTTGCTATGATTACATATAAATTTAATCATACATTCTTTTTGGGGCAGGGGTTCTGGATTCATTCAGCATAATTTTTGAGATCCATCAATGTTGTTATGTGTATCAATATTTAATTGCCTTTTATTGCCAAGTGATACTCAGTTCTGCCACAGTTTGTTTATCCATTCACCTGTTGATGGGCAATTGGGTTGTTTCCAGATTTGGATTATTACAAATAAGGCTACTATGAACATGTGTGTACAACTGTTTCTATGGACATCACACTTTGCTTTGCTTTTGAGCAAATACCTAGGAGGGGGATGGTTGGTTTCTTTGGTAGGTATATATTTCACTTTTACATTTTCCAAAGCAGTGGCAGTATTTTATATTCCTGAAGCAGTATATGAAAGTTCTGGTTCTTCTACATCATTGTTGACACTTGGTACAGTCTTTTTAATTTTAGCAATATCTCATCTTAGTTTTAATTTGAATTCTCTAATGACTAATGATGTTGAACATCTTTCACATGCATACTTGCCATCCATATATCTTGAGTAAACTTTGTGTAAACCTTTTGCCCTTTTTAAATTGGGTGCTTCATTTAAAAAATTTTTATTTTAATTATTTTATTTTCAAATGTACATCACAGTGGTTCAACAGTCCCCCACCCCCACCAACACCTCTCGCCTTTGATTACCACTAGGCACTTTTCAGTGTATATGAGTCTAATGCTGTTTTTTCCTTCTGTTTTGCTTTTTTTATATATTCCACAAATAAGCTAAATCATATGGTATTTGTCTTTCTCGGCCTGGCTTATATCACTGACAAAGTACCCTCTAGATCCATCCATCTTGAAAATGACAGGATTTCTTTTCTTTTTATGGCTAAATAATATTCCATGATGTAATTGTACCACCTCTTTATCAATTCATCTATTGATGGACACTTGGGTTGCTTCCATATCTTGGCTATTACAAACAGTGTGGTAATAAAAATAGGGGTGCGTATATCTTTTCAAATCAGGGAATTAGTTTTCTTTGGGTAAATTCCTAGGGATGGAATTACTGGGTCAAATGGTATTTCTGTTTTTAGTTTTTTGAGGAACCTCCATATTGCTTTCCACAGTGGCTGAACTAATTTACATTACAACTAACAGTATAGGAGGGTACCCCTTTCTCCTAATCCTTGTCAGCATTTGTTGTTTCTTCCCTTTTGGATGTTGGCCATCCTAACTGGTGTGAGGTGATATCTCACTGTCGTTTTGATTTGCATTTCCCTGATGATTAGTGATGTGGACATTTTCATGTACCTGTTAGCCCTTTGTATTTCTTCTTTGGAGAAGTGTCTGTTCAGGTCCTCTGCCCATTTTTTGATTTGGATTATTTGTTTTTTGGGTGTTGAGGTGTATGAGTTTTTATATATTTTGGATGTTGACCCCTTATCAAATGAGTCATTTACGAATATATTTTATATTGTACAATACCTTTGTGTTCTGCTGATTATGGTGTCCTTTGCTGTAAAGCAGCTTTTTAGGTTGATGTAGTCCCATTTTTTCATTTTTCCTTTTGTTTCCCTTGCCTATGGAGATGCATTCAAGAAAAAGTTGCTCATGTTTATATTCAAGAGATTTTTGCCTATGTTATCCTATTCTAAGAGTTTTATGATTTCATGACTGACATTCAGGTCTTTGATCCATTTCAAGTTTACTTTTGAGTATGGAGATAGACAATAATCCAGTTTCATTCTCTTACATGTAGCTGCCCAGTTTTGCCAACACCAGTTGTTGAAGAGGCTGTCATTTCCCCACCGTATATCCATGGCTCCTTTATCATATATTAATTGGCCATGTATGTGTGAGTTTATATCTAGGCTCTCTATTCTGTTGCATTGATCTATTGAGTCTGTTCTTATGCCAGTACCAAATTGCTTTGATTACTGTGGCTTTGTAGTAGAGCTTGAAGTTGAGGAGTGTAATCCCCCACCCTCCAAAGCCTTATTCTTCCTTTACAGGATTGCTATGGCTATTCAGGGTCTTTTGTTGTTCTATATGAATTTTGAAACTATTTGTTGTAGTTCATTGAAGAATGATGTTGGTATTTTTTTCTTAATTTTTATTTAGGTATCATTAATCTACAATTACATGAAGGACATTATGTTTACTAGGCTCCCCCCTTCACCAAGTCCCCCCCAGCAT